AGAGAGAGAGAGAGAGGGGGAGAGAGAGAGAGAGAGAGAGCGTTAAAAAAGAGAGGGAGAGGGGAGTTGTGAGAAAGATAAAAAAGAGATAGTTGTTGAAGGAAAACTGATACAGACATATACAGACAGTGTTTTTGAACGCGGCTTTTTAGTGTTTTGTTTTATTGCAGTGGTTGGAGAAAGTACTAGGTCATGACTTTTGTGCACTAGATAAGTCAGGCATAACGAAGCGTGTGCATAATTTGTGATTGTGTGAATGTGTCATGCGATATATTATGTGTGTGAAGTGTGTATGTGTATGTGTGTGTGTGTGTGTGTGTGAGAGAGAGAGAGAGAGAGAGAGAGAGAGAGAGAGAGAGAGAGTAAAAGACGATAACTCGAACAGGTCTATTTTTGCAATGTAGATACTGGGATTTTGTTTCAAAAGTTTTCCAAAAATCAAACACAAAGTGATAACAAAGGAATAACTAAACAAGAGAGTCTTTTATATTCACTCAACGTTTGGTTTCGCATCATATGAGCAGAACGAGTGAGTGAGTGAGTGAGGAAGGAAGGGGGATTCACGAGAAATAATTCGGAGTATTCGCGTCATTACTCTTTCTTTCATTTTGCAAGAATTTTCTACCCGGCTTTCGGGGGTTCAACGTGTTTGTGATTTACTCACAGGGTGAGACAGGCCAAGCCCAGTGTGTATGTAAAGCAGTCGGTAGAGGAAAGAGATGTGTATGGCCGCACCCGGCCAGCCTCTCAGTAAAGCACTTATCACCGATGGTGACAAATGTGGATCTTAATAATAGCTGATTATTCCAGAGCTGGGCGCCGCTATGAGGCAACGGGACACAGGAACGCCGGGGGCTGATAGCTTTCTTTGCCTAATCAGAGCAAGATGTCACAGAATAATGGAACAGGTACGTGCTACCGAAGTCTTAAGAGAAGGCACCCACTGCGAGTGGAGTGAGAAGAGGAGGGGAAGGAGGGTGAAGGTTAGGAAAGAGCAAGTATAAGCGTGAGGGGTGGGGTAGAAACAAACGTACTGTGTGGGTACTTTGTACTATCAATTTGGAAATAGACTAGTGACAGATCGATACTGATAAACAGATCAGATCGTACATAATGTGTGGAATTCTCAGAGACTAACAATTGCCCTCCACATGAGTATAGCGAAATGGACAGTTGGTGAGAACGGCAGAAAGGAAAAACAGACGGATAGATAAACAGACTAATGTATACCAATACAGACAATTACATAGACACCGCTAGACAAAATACTCTCTGAGATAGAGGACAGTGGCACAAACATATCTACAGACAGATTTATGCAAGAAGGAATCTGTACAGTGCAAAAAGAGTTGAGAAAGAGATGGTGATCAGAGGTGAAAAAAAGTTTGTGCCAGAAACAAAAAGCAAAGAAAATAATGTACGTAAAACTACTCACCATTTTGTCACTCCCAAAAATATGATCGTTTGCCGGAGAGAAGACCTGGGAAAGAGAAAACAATAAAAATCCGTTAGCTCCTTGTAGGGGAGTGAATATAAGGGAAAACATCAGAAAACTTTGAATCACTGTGCCCCTCACCTTCAACTGTTCATACAACTATGACCGTGACCCAAGTCATTCCCAGAACTTCACCCCCGTCTGCCTTTTAAACCAGTGGTAAAATCGCCACGAAATTCCCCGAGGCGGATGAAGGACAGAAGAAAAGATAGCGAATTAATCAGGTCCTTAAGGTGAAAGTTGCCGTTTTAACAGCGGACATTGTTCTCCAATTTCAGGAAGCAGCCCCGAGTCTCCGCCCAGATATCGATCCAGGGTTGGCAAGTGGCACAGTGCTCGCCTCTTTTGTGGCACACAGCAGAGTAGTCTCCGTCACCCTCCAGCTCGGCCCGCGACACTACAATTACCCAGCCCAAACAAAGAAAACGACAAACCCAAAAAGGCTTTCAAATAATTTTTTTGGCTCAAGAAGAGCGCAAAACGTTGCCCGAGGCGCGGTGACGATCAGAAGACAAAAAAGAAAACCCAGGACAAACACAGGCCAAATAATTATGATGATCTTAATGATAGGGGCAGGCTCTGGTTTTGACAGTTTGCTGCGTGAGGGTTCTCAGAGTTTTCTTAAAGGGGATACCCCCGGAGGGCCAAACAAAGGGAACCGATTTGGGTGGGGTGGGG